GTAAGTGTGGTGTGTCCTTGAACACCTCCCATGGTAAGTGTGGTGTGTCCTTGAACACCTCCCATGGTAAGTGTGGTGTGTCCTTGAACACCTCCCGTGGTAAGTGTGGTGTGTCCTTGAACACCTCCCATGGTAAGTGTAGTGTGTCCTTGAACACCTCCCATGGTAAGTGTGGTGTGTCCTTGAACACCTCCCACGGTAAGTGTAGTGTGTCCTTGAACACCTCCCATGGTAAGTGTGGTGTGTCCTTGAACACCTCCCATGGTAAGTGTGGTGTGTCCTTGAACACCTCCCGTGGTAAGTGTGGTGTGTCCTTGAACACCTCCCATGGTAAGTGTGGTGTGTCCTTGAACACCTCCCATGGTAAGTGTGGTGTGTCCTTGAACACCTCCCATGGTAAGTGTGGTGTGTCCTTGAACACCTCCCATGGTAAGTGTAGTGTGTCCTTGAACACCTCCCATGGTAAGTGTGGTGTGTCCTTGAACACCTCCCACGGTAAGTGTAGTGTGTCCTTGAACACCTCCCATGGTAAGTGTGGTGTGTTCTTGAACACCACCATTGAACATCATGGTACCTTGAACACCATACCTTTCCACCTAAGATTACCCAACGTCAAGAAACTGCCGGACTAAAGTGCCCTTACCCTAACCTACCAGAGGACCCAAAACAGAAGACGGGACAGTGTGTCAATTTCGCGAGTCGCCTCCATTTTCTGGCACGACGATTTACGGCCTTAGGTAAAGTATACGTCAAAATGCAACGTTCTCTTAGGAGGACGAGTTGGAGACTCAAGTGCTTGAGAAAGAAAACGGACGTGAATAGAGCCAAACTATAATATTTTTCCCTGTTCAGGGGATATTTTTGTTAACTTTTACAGTTAAACATAATTCAGTGTGTCGGGGCAGCCTGTTTATTCATGCAGTACATGTTAGGGTGATATCGAGGTCCATTCCCAGGGTCAAATTACTGACCCTTCCCCCAGGGTGCAACACCACAACGGGCTGGCTAACTCCTGGATATCTATTTACTACTAGGTGGACAGGGGCATGAGGTGATAGGAAACGCGCTCAACCATTTCTGTCCCGACTGGAATTCGAATTCGGAATTCCCGACTGTGAGTCGAGAACGAATCAAACTGTACTACTGTTGTTAATCAACATTCAGTTGTAACTGCGAGTTTTAGAAAAATTATAATAAAGTGACGGAAATTTAGATAAGCGAAGATAACTAGAAATCATGATACTGGAGACAGGAGGAACAGGTATTGGTGTATTGCTCAGTACAAATCAGATCAATTTAAAAACTTCTTTATGCCATTAAATCTAATTGCTATTCCTGCAAACGACCAGGCGTTGTCAACTCACAGGATATTTTTTTATTTGAGATATATACAAGAGTTGTTACATTCTTGTACAGCCACTAGTACGCGTAGCGTTTCGGGCAGGTCCCTGGAATACGATCCCCGCCGCGAAGAATCGTGTTTACAACCAAGTACACATTTTACTGTTGAGTTAAACAGAGGCTACAGTTAAGGATTTGCGCCCAGTAAATCCTCCCCGGCCAGGATACGAACCCATGACAAAGCGCTCGCGGAACGCCAGTCGAGTGTCTTACCACTACACCACGGAGACTGGCGAATATTAGTAGTTGGTATTTGTAGTTGGGTCCGCACACGCTGGCCGTGAGCTCGGGCTGGGGTCCCACACACGTGGTTTCACTTTAGTAACTTCTCCCTCACTTGGAGGTCAGGGGTCAGGTGGGATGGTCATGTCTGGCAGGGGGAGCCACGTGCCATTCTGGTCATTGATGACCTCTTAACGCTGCCCTACAAACATTAGTGTCAGCTGTCGAGGAGGAAGACTCTTGACCCTATGACCTTAGGTCTATAGCTAGTCGCATTTTCGTTGGTCACTTGGCCTCCTTTGACCTGAACAGACCCGACTTGGCCAGACCTGAACTGGCCTAAATGGTTACAACACAGAGTCACATAAGGAGAGGCTACGACGGTTGGTCATAACCTCTAGGTCAAAGGTCGTTAGTGAACTGACTGTTAGTTACTGACGTTACTGAAGCCGAAACAACAAGTTTACGTCAATTTATTTGAGGGCCACTATCTCTCCGGTGGCCTCGACGGAGACAGGAAGCCGGCGACTTGTCTAAGGTTCCCCCCCACCAGTTTTGAACTGAAGTAATGCCTTGATATTTACAGCTCTGGCGGGTAGGAGATTTCATAAGTTTATAACCCTATGGGTTAAAAAAAAAACATCTGTTTTCTTTCCTTGTTGGCTTGTTGAGCTTGAAACTGGTGTCCACTTGTCTGTGTTACATTTGACCTTTTAAAGAAGTGGTCTGGATATGCTCAAACTTATTCTTATTCTTTGTATTATATTCTTATTCTTATCTTAAAGGTATCAAGTCATGTGTCTCTCCAGCGTTCTTTGTCTATTTAACTCTTGAACTGCAACGCCAGTCCTGACCTTCAGTGCTTCCTTAAGTTCTGTTTAACTCATGATCAATACATGAGAAACAAACTTCTCTTTGATATTCATAGAGTGAGACTCAACCAAGACGGAAATGCTCTGGAGATCAAGGGTCCAAAATTGTGGAATGGTCTTCCGGATGTAATTAAAACTTGTACGGCTCCCAACTTGTTTAAAAATAGACACTTAAGAACTATGTACTTAATATCATGTAACTGATTTCACTCGCATTTCCCTTGGTAACTAGATATTCTTGTGCTACTGTTAGCTTAATTTGTATTTAATATTTATGTCCTTTCTTCATTTAGATAATGAATTAAAATTGTAATGTTTTAAATTTAAAATTTTAATTAAAATTATAATAATTTATCTAAATTATTTTAAGTTTTGCTGGAAATGCCTTGTGTATTGGTGGCTTTATTTGTATGTGTAACTGCGGACCCTACAATTTTCCCTTCTTATGTTCCTTGTGTACACATTCTTATGAATAAAATTATGATAGAGGTTATGAAGATGGTAAGTACCAGTAATGAGAAGCTTCGTGGGAATCAGCGAAGTTCTTGCTTAAATTTGGACAACAGAAAATGGTTGTAATGCACCAACTTCAAAGAAAACCTGTTAAAGTAGAGGGCGACTTAAATAATATACTATCTTTCCACTTTTCTTCCCCCTCGTCTAATGCTTGGCAGCGAGCTTGATACATTATTTATAATATAATACAAATCACGTTAACATTAACTGGACGTTCAAACGCTGTAGGATTATGTTTGTAGAGTAAATATAAACATTTACTTACAAAAAATAAGTGCATTTGCTTAAGTACAGAAGATATGGTTTCTTATTGAACAGTTTTGCCATATACAACTTTCTGAACTATTGTGAAGAAAATTTAACGACTGGATTGGAGTGTTAAGGTCATTAACGGGTGGGGTCAAGAGGGGTTGTGAGGGGTCATGACTGATGGTGTCATAGGTCCTCGCGGCCGAGTGGAGAACGGTCGTTGTTCTAAGGGCCCCTGGTTCAATTCCCGGCCGAGGCAGATGGCCGGGAATTGGGCAGAGTTTCCTTTCACCTGATGTATCTATTCGCCTACCTTGTGGTTACCTTGCGATAATTTCAGGGCTCAACGTCCCCGCGGCCCTGTCCTCGCCCAGGCCTCTTGGTTGCTGGACTGGTCGAGCAGCCTGGTTGATGTATGAATGACCGCATACTCCAGGATTGGTCTGGCATATGTCGCATACAACGTTCTGGGGCCATATTCACGAAGCAGTTACGCAAGCACTTACGAACGTGTACATCTTTCCTCAATCTTTGACGGCTTTGGTTACATTTATTAAACAGTTTACAAGCATTAAAGATTTCCCAATCAACTGTTGTTATTGTTATAAACAGCCTCCTGGTGCTTCGGAGCTCATTAACTGTTTAATAATTGTAAACAAAGACGCCAAAGATTGATAAAATATGTACAGGTTCGTAAATGAATCCTTTCACAAGTTTCTGAACGGCAGCTTTTTTTTGATGTTGGTCAACCTGGCATATGCCGCTGGTGATATTGGGTGTGTGTGTGTGTACTCACCTAGTTGTGTATGTGAGTGTGTGTGTGTCTGTCTGTCTCTATTCGTCTGTCTGCGTGTTTTTTTTTCTGTCTGTCTATTTCTCAGTATCTGATAGATTTAATATACTGTAGTTTGAAACAAGTGAATCAAACTTTTTTTTTTTTTTTACTTTTGCTCAAAGAAGTTTGCGTAATGCTGGTTACTGTTTTGTGACTGAGTAGTGAGGTGCAGTGATTGATGGGTCGCGGGAACGTTTTTGTCCGACCCGTTGGTTGTGTCCGACCCTCCGACTGGCCGTTGTCATGCAGCTACGCACCAGACAAAAGCGCTGGACAGCTACGCCGAAGAACAGTTCCGAAACAAAAAACAAAAAAAAGGGTGGAATTTAAATAGTGACAAAGAAGTATGAGGGGGCGGGAGGGCTCCTTACCCCTTACACCCCCCCTTACAAATGGGGGGCATTCTCTCTCTCTCTCTCTCTCTCTCTCTCTCTCTCTCTCTCTCTCTCTCTCTCTCTCTCTCTCTCTCTCTCTCTCTCTCTCTCTGTCTCTCTGTCTCTCTGTCTCTCTGTCTCTCTCTCTCTCTCTCTCTCTCTCTCTCTCTCTCTCTCTCTGTCTCTCTCTCTGTCTCTCTCTCTGTGTCTCTCTCTGTCTCTCTCTCTGTCTCTCTCTCTGTCTCTCTCTCTCTCTCTCTCTCTCTCTCTCTCTCTCTCTCTCTCTCTCTCTCTCTCTCTCTCTCTCTCTCTCTCTCTCTCTCTCTCTCTCTCTCTCTCCTCTCTCTCTCTCTCTCTCTCTCTCTCTCTCTCTCTCTGTCTCTCTCTCTCTCTCTCTCTCTCTCTCTCTCTCTCTCTCTCTCTCTCTCTCTCTCTCTCTCTCTCTTCTCTCTCTCTCTCTCTCTCTCTCTCTCGCTCTCTCCCTCTTCCCCTTTTTCTCTGGCTCTCACAAGACACTGTAGGGACGGGTGA